ATAAGAGAAGCTAATAGCAAATAAAGAGCAATGTAATATGAGAGAAGAGGAAGCGGAGAGGGGGAAGAACACATTAATATATAAAGAAACTCCAATGAAAAGAGATAGGAGGAAGAAACTAAAGGGAATTATAAGAAGACGCCTGCTAGAACAAAGGTCTTTTTCGAAAATTTCGTTGGAGTAAAAGTGAATGTTGCCCACTCTTGCTCAGCAAATATTCCCAGCGCAGTGCTCTCACGTTCCACAGGGTCATGCAACACTGAGCAGACTTAACAATCTTGAATACCAAACAAAGATTCCCCCGGCATTTCTTGGCGCTTTGATGTTCCTTGCCGTTCTGGGGCTTTGCTTTTGCGTGTTTGTGTGTGTGTGGTTGTGGTTTTGATTAACTTTGTAGGAATGTGTTTGTTATTACTTTTTTGAGGTATGGATGTTGTCAGTCTTGTTGTTTTTACTATTGATGTTGTCATGTTGTCGTTGGTTTGGGTGGTTTATTTTTATTGCTGTTATTATTTCACCACTCTAATTATCGGTCTTATTTTCATAATAATTTCGATTCACCATTCCGTCTCTCCGTTTCTGAATAATAAAAAGCATCAAATTTAACACGAAATTAATATAAGCAAGTATATCCTACAACCGCATGAGGATGAAACTAATATAGCCCTTGGCCACGCAATTTCCTGAATTTCACTACGACACCGGGTAAAGCTGGCCCTTGATTGTACTGTCAAGCCTAAACATGCCACACGGCCGGCAACACGAAACTCATTGAATCCATGGCCGCGACGTACCCTGTCTCAGTCACTTCCCGTTTCGCCCTAGATTGGATGGAGGCCGAAGGGGTCAGCCCGGCTACGTACACTGCCGCATCTCTCTTTTTGTCTCTTGCACTCTCTCGTTCTGTCTCTGTCTGTCTATACTATATATAGGGTATAAATATATTGAATATATATATATATATATATTATACTATTATACTATATATATACTATATTATTCTAATATATATATATATTGTGTGTGTGTGTATTCGTGCACGGTGTGGGTATTCATAAAAAAAAAAAAAAAAAAAGGATGAAAAACAGAAACAAGTAACAGAAAAAATCAAATATATATATATATATATATATATATATATAGTATAATATATATATATATATATATATATATATGTATGTGTATGTGTATATGTATACATGTATGTGTGTACATATATATCTATATCTAATCAATCTATCTATCCTATCTATCTATCTATCTATCTATTATCTATATATATATTATATAGTACTATGTGTGTGTGTGTGTGTGTGTGTGTGTGTGTGTGTGTGTGTGTGTGTATGAAGATATATTTGTATGTGACATAAAGAATTTTCATCATCCCAACTATCAGATTATATTGAAACTAAATTTAATGTTGTTAATCTTATCATGAGTAGTATAACCTAACGGTCTAACGGTCCGTGGGGTGGATTGAATTCAATCCTCTGTTGAGTATGTTCCGGGATACACAAAAGTCATAGAAATATTCTTAACCTGTAACTTTTTATTCTATGAACAAGTAAAAAGTAGCATATCAAAGTGTAAACTCAGCAATAAACATTATATGAATATACAAAGAAGGTTTTCTGCTGCTGAATGAAAGTTCTAAGCTAAACTTTACATTACACCCTCCCTTAACCTACTAATTATATTACAATAAGCATTACTATAAGCAAAATGAAAACAAACGTGAGATGGGATCGAGGCAATCACTCCCATTCTACCTATTTCTCTCTGTTATATAATTGAACATAAAGTAATCGATTCCTTCCCTTTTACCCTCATGATTGCCCTTTCATACATTTTACTGCTTAATCTATGAACCGTATTCATGTTGACAAATGCAGAAAAGGTATGAATAATACGAGAGATGTATTATATCTTCGTCAGAAATACATGTATTTCTAACGAAGACATAATCGATACTGATAAAATACATCTCTTGCTTTGTGAAGATTTTCGTTCTCATTCATACCTTTCCAAATTCTTAATCTGTTTCTTGATATCACCGGAACTGTTTCTTTTTAATTATTCCGTTGCCGTATCCGCGGGGCTAAATAAATGAATAAATAAATATCCTAACAACGAAGTCTGGTGATAAATATGGTGGGCGTTGCGTCGCCTCGTTTTATTCACCTTTCTTTCTGTGTATGGGGTGAGAGAATGACCTCGTCTCAGTTGTCACAATTTATTACACAGGAATTCCATAATCATGTTTATACAGTTAAAAAGCCTTACCTTCTAGAATATCAGAGTAAAACACGACTTTTAATACCAGCATCTAACATGTCTGTGTATGGGGCGAGACCAGGTCCTCGTCTGACCAGACAGTGAGGATATCTTTGCATATTGCGTTCTCCCCAATGAACTGTAAACATTAAAAAGAAAAAAAAAATAAATGGTCATTATTAGTTTATTCTATTCTACTATATTAATATGCCTTAGCAACAAAAACAATAAATAACCGTTTTCAAATATTTATATAGTGAAATTTAGTGTTTATTAAAAAAAGTAATATTCAGGATGCATGACTGAAGAATAATTCATATATATGAAAAAAGTGAAAGATCAGTCAATGATACAATTTCCATTACATACTTAATCAATAAAGATATACATGAACATAATCTGGCAATGGACATACTATGACACATATGGAAGTGGCACTGGCTCATTTCAGAGAGCCACATTAATATTCACTAATTCTAATCTTACTATCAATAGATTTTCAACAAAAATAATTTTTTAATGGATTCTCTTGCGGCTATATCACTATATATTCAAATATTTATCCTATTACATTTTCAGATTCTATTTTCCCCTTACTGAACTCATCGTATCCATAACTGAATTACTTTGTTTGCATTGCATATTCACCTGTAAATGATAACCTTTGGCCCAAACAGTAGTGTAAAAGGTAGCTACATATCTTTCCTTGCTAGTTTACGGATGTCAACTGCGATCCGATGACTGCGCCATTGGTAGTTTTTCCATTATGCCCAGCCATTCCTGGCTTAATTATTAAGTCCTGGACACTATCCAGGCTCAGGATATAGCTGGTTCAACAAGCAGAACATGCCCTCTGACTGCCTTTGCTTTTTACTCCCCAAGGGCGTCTTCCTCAACCTTGCTTATGCTGGTGTCCATGCCTATCCGCTGCTCTATACATTCGTAGTCAGTTCATCACTGCTGCTAACACTTCTGGAACAATGTATGGCACGCCCAACAATTACTATATTGATAAAACCTAATCCCATTTAACGATATTAATGAAATCTTTAAAAATCTTTGTGTTTCTCACAGAGAAAAAAAAATAATAATAATCGCGAAGCACTGCCTACCAATGTAATATAAGAACTTTTCGAGTCCTAATTGCTCTGCTGACAATATGCCTAAATCTTGATAAGTATACTATCTTTCAAAAATTTCCATCCTACGACATGACCATGTACCGTAATCAACGTTATCAATACCCGAAAGTGCCGCCACTACTCGAGAGTTTGGATATAGAGAAAATCTCGAGACAAAATTAAATTTGGACTTACCTAATTTTAATATAGGTACAATAACCTAATGGTCTTAAGGTTCCTCTGTTGAGTGTTGGCGAGCTATACAAAGGGCCTAGAAACATGCTTGCCCATTTTTTTTTTATTCTATGAACAGATAATAAATAAGTGGCATATCACAATCCAAAACATAGCAATAAACATTATATGAGTGAACAAAAAATGTTCTCTGCTGCTTATTAAGATGAAATTCTAAGCTAAACTTTTCTTCCCCCTTTGCCTACCAGTTATAAATCAATAAGATGACTATTTAGCATAATTAAAACAAATGTGAGTATGTATATATATACATATATAGATAAATAAATAAATGTGTGTATGTATTTATATATTTGTTTTTATTTATATTATATGTATACATATATATATATATATATATATATAATATATATAATATATATATATATATATATTATATATATATATATATATATATATATATATATATGTATATATATATATATAATCATTTTCGTTTATGAGGGGATCAAGTTGGCCAGGTTAACAGTGAAGCACCAGAGGAAACATACAGGAGGAATATATTGAAAAGGCACTATTTACGCTATATACAACTCACAGAGGAGACAGGAGACATTCAGGCAAGGGAGTAGTGGAGCAGGCGAAGTCACATGGCGAGCGAGGTAGGAAATGTCACAAATCCCGGGAGAACTGAAGTATTTCCCGAAGAACTGACAAATTTTTGGTGATCGCACCTGTCATGCTTTTTTTTTTTTTTTTTTTTAATTACCACTTATATTGCAAGGTGCAAGGTTTTGCTTACGCCACCCGGGTGAAGGTCACTTTATTTCAGTGTCTTTTCAGAGGGTAATCTTTATTCATGGTACTGAGAGAGCTCTTGAGAAAGGGTGGTACGTTTGTCATGGAGACTGTAGGAGAGGGTGTCAAATTTGTGACCGAAAGATCGGCGTTGCTGGAGTCGCACTCCACCGAAGAACGACGGCTACTCCTGCAGGTGCTGCAGACGCCGCCCATCACCGACGCTAAGGGCTGGGGCACAATCCCCCAGGACAGAACCTAGCCGCCCGAGAACTCTGCCGAAGACTGTCCGACGACGACCCCTTCTTCTCCTTTTGTAAGGCTCGCTCCGGCGTTCTCCACCAAGGCCAGCCTGGCAGCCGTAGCTGAAGTGGGCCACAAGGTCCGTGGCAGGCACCCCAACTGCCCCGATGCCTGGTCGTTGGCGCCTACCAAGCAGAAAGTGGCCGGCCACAGTAAATACTAACTGGAGCTTGCCGAACGCGAGGAGAAAGGGGTGAAGAAGGCGCCACAACGAAGGCTCCACGCAGAAGGCCCGGCAGAAGTCCCAGGAGGGAGACGATGAACAGCCCCATCAAGCCGAAGAAAATGCCACCCCTGCAGCAGCAACAGATTAGGGGTCCATCCCCGGTAGTGAAGGCGGCAATTCCAGGTGACTTTTCCCCCAGTGACCGCAGGAAACATTGAAGGATCCTGGAGAGGAGAACGATAGAAGGCGAAACTCGTTGAAAGGGTCCGAGGCCGCCGGGAGAAGAGTGGCCTTTCATGCGAATCGTTGGTGTATAGGCGCGACACCCTCGTTCCTCATGAGATCAGGTGACCAATCACGGGCGATCTCAGCCCATCTAATCCCGCCTCACCAGCTCGGGTAAACACCACTGAAAGTCCTAAGCGACCAAACTCACACCCACATTGTAGCGGTCTGACACAGGCTCAGGAAACTGACGGGGGCCGACCAAGGCGATCTCGTAGTTGTGACGTATCTACTGCCTTTCTTAAAATAATCTTCCATACTTGAAAATTATTTTCAAAAGCCACAACTGCGAAATGTCTACCCGACGCTCCAAGATCTAGCTATAGAGAAGATGTGGCAGGCAGCAAGCAGCTCACCGGCAGTTCCTCGGCAGGCAGCTCCCCCGGCAGTTCCTCGGCAGGCAGCTCCTCCGGCAGTTCCTCAGCAGGCAGCTCCTTCTGCAGGTCCTATGGGTCCTCGACCAGCAGCTCCTTCTGCGGATCCTCCGGATCCTTGACCAGCAGCTCCTTCTACGGGTCCGAGGCCGGCAGCTCCTCGTGCGGGTCCGAGGCCAGCAGCTCCTTTTGCGAGCTTTCTCGAGCGTGCCCGCTTCTTCCGAGGGCTGCTCCCTGGGTCTCTTCTCTGCTTTTCTCCGTCATGGGCTTCCCGCTGCGACGGGTCCTTGGGCGGACGGATCGAGTCCACAGCCAACCGTGCCATGGGCAGATTCACTCCCGGGAGTTCTTGAGTTTCCCGGACAACTCCAGAACAAGCCCAGATGAAGGGACCCACGTTCCTCCAAACAGCTTGTTCAGCCCTCCGGCTCCTCCCTTCTCTGATAATACAGGGCCATCTGCTCACGCCTGAGTTTCTCCTGCACCTGTATATAGTGCAAGAAGGCCGTACCCTCTTGGCCCAGCCTTTCACCTTCCTCCACGTAGTCCCTCATGGTGCTAATTTACTGACCGTCTGATCCTAGCAAGGTCACAAATGTCAGGTGCCTTTATGAGGGGATCAGGACGGCCAAGTTAACCGTGAAACACGAGAGGAAACATACGGGAGAAATATATTGAGATACAGTTAGCTAAGAGGGGTTAAAAATAGAGATAAAAAGTGTAAGGGCTAGGAAGGAAGAAGAAGTAAAAAGAAGGTGGTGAAACCTCTTGCGATGGTTATTTTTGACTTATGACACGCCTGTTGAGTGAGGTCGTGTTGGTGCGTGCGGGGAAGGCCTGCCGCGTGCCTGATTTGCTGCCTGACCTGGTGCCCGAGTTGCCTAGTGTCGTCGCTTATGGTTAAGATTTCAAGGAAAAGCCTATTATTTATTTGGTTAAATAACTACATCGAGATGTAATTTGATTAGGTAGGCTCACATGGTAATATATGTATATACATTAGTCTGTTTAAAACGGCATGCTAAAAATAAAAGCAGAACATGAGAACACAAAGATCTTTGAACGAAATAAGCAGTGTGACTGAAGTCAGTGCAAGAGAACGCAAAAGGAAACTTTGAACGTACAGGGAAAAAAGACGATGTGGGAACACAAAAATAAACGGTGAGCGAGAAAGGAGATAAAAGAAACATTAAAAGAAGCAAGACATGATAACACGAAGAACATTGGACAAGAGGAACTGTGAATGAAATCAGAACATAGAACGCAAATGGAAACATTGAACGAATACAAGGTAAATAAAAAGATGGGAACACAAAATGAACACAGGGGAAAGGGGGAGGTGAGTGCCGATCTTATTACGTTATGTTCATTTTTTTTCTAAACCCTCCTGAGGTGATCTGTCATTGCGATCTCCGGGTGGCCGGAGTTCGCAAAGGAAGGCCTGCCTAGAGGATTGGGAGATCTCATTCCCTTTTTTTCTTTATTTTTTCCTTCTCATATATGTATGTACACACTTATACACATGATCGAATTTACAATTGCACACAACACACATACTTGCACGCAGGTTCGCACATACACTCGCAAATTACGTATGTATATTACATACATACACACACACACATACTCGACATACAAAGTCCGTGGAGGCAGGCTCCCTGGAGGATGAGAGATGCTCTCCCCTGGAGTTGGAATGTCTCAATATTTTATTTAATCTATTTATTGATTTTTTATTATTATTATTATTATTATTATTATTATTTTTTTTTTTTTTTTTCTTTTTCTTTCTTTTTAGATCGGCGTGAATGCAGGGGGCGGGGTGGGGGTAACGAGAGTAATTGCATACTCTGTGGCCACCAGCTGTGTTCAGTGGTTCGATGTTGTATCTTTCGTGGAGTATACGTGAGGGTGTAATGTCGGGGGATCGTATGTTTGCAGCCCAGCGCAAAGGTTTTTTTTCTGGACTGCTTGCATGTTTAGTTGTGTTCTTGATATGGTGTGTAATGGGGTGTATTCGAGTATGAGTCTGATTACTGTCTTGTACAGTCTATGTTTTGTTTGTGTACATTGTGTGAAACTCTCTCTCTCTCTCTCTCTCTCTCTCTCTCTCTCTCTCTCTCTCTTCTCTCTCTCTGCTCTCTCTCTCTCTCTCTCTCTCTCTCTCTCTTATATATATATATATATATATATATATATATTATATATATATATATATATATATATATATATTACCACACACACATATACACGCACATATACATATTGTATACATACACACACACCACGCACACACACATATAACACAACACACATATATGCTAAGTCTCTCTCTCTCTTTCTCTCTCCCTCCTTCCTCCCTATCTCTCTTTCCCCTCCTTCCTTTCGCCTTCCACCGCACCCGCTACAAATACCCTGCCCGCCGAGCCAGCGCGTCGACCGCTACCCCTTGTCTACTGCGGAACCAATTACCTCACCTCGTGTCTCCAATTAACACACGGGGAGAGCGTTCGGATTCCCCTGTGTAGCGACGTGCTGTTTCCCGGCCCCTGCGCGTGTGATTTTCGCTTTAGAGCACTTCGCACCTGGACGGACTGGCGCTTCCTCTTTGTGCGTTCGAGAGGGGGCGGGGCGTCGGGCTGGGAGAGAGGGGGGGGGGATTAGGAGGGGGGATTGGATTAGGAGGGGGGGGGTTGGGGGTTAGGGATCGGCGAGGTTAATTAGAGCGAGTGTCTCTGCCGTTCATGTTTGCTGATCAGGGAGGATACTCTCTGGTGTGTGGATGGGGAGAAGAGTGATAACATTGGGAAAAGACAATAACGAGGGGTTGGAGGAGGGTAGAAGAGACAGACAGAGAGAGAGAGACAGACGCAGAAACAGGTACACAGACAGACAGATAGACAGAAACAAGCATACGGACAGAAAGATAGAGAGAAACCGACATACATATAGGCAGAAACAGGTAAACATGTAGCTAGGCAGACATGCGCGCGCGCACACACACACACACACACACACACACACAAAGAGAGAGAGAGATGACATAATGGCGATAATGATAATATCATCGTTAGTAATGATTAACAAAAAACGATAATATTTTCAAAATACGGGTGTACAGCTTTTTTCAATCAAACTGAATTACATACATACATAGAGGCGTATTTGCAATAAACTTTTACGAAAAGATTTAGATTACAATACAGTACTGACAATACGTCTCAATACCGAAGTTGAAGGAACACATTTAATATCATACTCCACCAGATGCACCTTATGAACATTCACGCTAATATTAGCAACCCGAGGAACGACCCGAAATAAATGATGACATATGAGACGTGGCAGATTAGTCATTACGGCATCCAATTACGGCGATACGGCATAGGTGGTGCTGACGGCTGCTTTGAGTGTGTGGGAGCGGGCGGGGATCTCCATGTATCGCCTACGGAGTTAGAATTGGAGTTAATTTCCCAAATAATTACGTAAATTAGTGTATGTATACAGAAATCAATGTGTGTGTGTGTGTGTGTGTGTGTGTGTGTGTGCATGAACACACATGCACACATACACACACACCATACTCTCTCATCGCGCACCATATATATATATATATATATATATATATATATATATATATATATATATATATATATATATATATATATATATATATGCAAGATGAGATGAAAAGACAGAGGGATGATAGTACGCGCAATATACATCAAAGCTTCCAACCTAATGTCAAATCACGTACAGAATATTTTCTTCTTATTCCCGGACCTTTATATAAGCTTCGCCTTTGATCCAAATTACTCTTATCATCCTCATGTTAGTTAAGCACTTATTACTTAGTTATTAAAGCGTCAGTATGATTAAAAGCCTATAGTGAACCATTTCATTAGGTGAAGAATGCGTGCGTCATATGTTACGTAATCTGCTGTAGCTTAATTGTGGTATTTACGCTGATCAGTTTTACCTTTGCTAATCGGGGAATTAGGCAGGATATAATCGCACTTGAATTGCATATTGTCGGTGCAATCTCCTGTCTTTCTATCTGAAAATTATTTATTCTCATTCTTCATACACACACACACACACACACTCACACACACACACACACACACACACACACACACACACACACACACACACACACACACACATATATAATATATATATATATATATATATATATTATATATATATATATATATATATATATATGCAGAAATACCACATAAATAATAACGATAATAAATCCGTGATTGGTTTAGTTGGAAGATCCGTCAATGAAGCACAAGTAAAGTCAACAGAGTGAAGTGAGGTGGCCGGGATGATTGTAATCACTCGTGGTATAAGGCCAAGGTGGCACTGTGGAGAGGGCTGCAGCTGTCAAAAGATGTATACTACGTCAACACATACAGGTCAACATACAGGTCAAACAGGACTCGGCTCAGAAATGGATCAAAATGGAGGAATGTGTTCAGGTGTGGAGCTCGGAATAGAGTGGCCAACCGTAGAATGGCAACCACCGACTATGGATACGTGGCTGGTCTCGACCGGGTGGAGGCGAACCAAAAGGACACATACTCCTTTTAAGCACACATACACATACGCACAACCAAAGAAAGATAGTGAAATAACCACTATAAAACCATAAACCACTGACAAATAGCAATGATGAAAATAACGACAATAATTATAATAATGATTAAATGATGACTATAATGCTGATGATAATGATAATAATAATAATGATTTAAATAATAATAATGATTTAAATAATAATAATGATAATGATTATAATGATAATAGTTGTTAGATCAGTAATAATAATGATAATGATAATAATAAAGACATGATAATCAAAATACTCATGATAATGATGGTGATAATAATAATAGAATAATAGTGATAATGATAATGATGGCAATGTTAATAATGATAATGATGACAATGTTAATAATGATAATGCCAATAAGATGATAATGATGATAATGATAAGGATAGTAATGGTTAAGATGATGATACTGATAATAATAATGATAATAGTAACAATAAAGATAATAAAGATAATAGCAATAAAAACGATGATGATAATGATTATGCTAATAAAAATAATGGTAATAATGATAATAACAATTATAATAGAAACAACAATGAAAATAAAAATAAGGATAAGGATAATAATAATAACGATAACAACAAACAACAACAAATAATAATATAATAATAATAATAATAATAATAATAAATAAATAATAACAATATTAACAATAAAATAAAACTATGATAATGATAATGATAACGAAAGGAGAAGGAGAGGAAGAAGCTTTTAATATCTTCGTTCCAACTGTTACGAAAATATTGATATGTTTTGACTTGCATCTGCCAACAGCCAGCACACAATTACCAGATCCTACACTTTTTATTTGATATTAAGGTTATGAGGGAACACCTGATGTAGGAAGA